CCAGAGACTAACTGCTTGAGCTATGGCACAACCTTCTTCAGTATCTTAGTTAGTTATTAGAAAGGGTGGGTTTCCATATGCACTTAGACCTGTAATGGTCCATTGTGCTTCCCTCTATGATTTCTACCAGCCTCTATATCCTACCGGTATTGGTGCTTACCATCAGTCCCGCCCAGCCAGCGAGACCGGCTCTACTGGCTGAGAAGTATCTATAATGCTTCCCCCATCTACCGGAGGTATTAGTGACTGCTGTTGGGCGGCAAACGTCCGCAATTTTGCTCAGTGACCTCCTTTGGAGATATGAGGTTCTTTTACATGCCGTAAAGCTACAACATGGGACCCACGGCTTAAAGTCCCTCCCGGAGGACTTGTTCCCTGAATTTTTCCGCCCCTAAAAATTCGACGACCTCCGCCGGGTATTTGAACCTGCGTACTACGAGTCATGAGGTGGGAACGTTACCTCTAGACTACGGAGGCCGCTTTCTTCAGTATCTTACTCTATGCAGTGTTTTATTTCCAATTCTTTGTATGTACCTCAGTGGGGTGGAAAAGACTGCAAAATGAGAAGTTTCATAATTTTTACTCATTTCCAGACATTTTTAGTCAGAATAGGTCAGTTGAAATCCCAGCACATATACGCATATACATACCAACCAGTTCCACTTGGAAAGGTGATGTGAGACTCCATTAAAGTTATTATAAGCATTGTTAACAATATAAATACAATTATTGAGTTCTTAGACATTATCCATCATCATTTTCTTTTTCTCTTGATATAAAAACTGTGTTTCAAAGACTACTCTGTCTGCATCCTTGGGTAAAATACGATTTCCAGATACCAGAATCAATGCAAGACAGGATATATACAGAAAACATGATGTACACCATCAAAGTCCATAAAATCAGAGTACTATCTAAATAGAAGCCAATGCTAAGGAACAAAATTCTATGCTAGTACCAACAAAAAAACACAACTTTCACATATAATCTAACATTGTGAATCCATAACTGGACTCTGGCAAATGGACTTATACTGGGGCTCCCTGCTAGAAGAACAAAGGATCTGTTGAAATTACACAGAGACCAATTAAGATGGGTGGTAGGACTATCTACAGGACACTCACCTAAAAGGACACATTTTCAAACTGATTGACAGATGACCCCACTTGTGAAAGGTGCCTAGAACAAAATGAATCAGCCACACATCCTATGTGACTCTGAAGCCATAGCTCATTTAAGGTATCACCTATGCCAGTTCTTTATGGAACCAAGTGACTACTATGATGTGCCATAAACAGAGACCTACATTTCATTCAGTGTGTAGGATTAATAGAGGATTAGTCAAAAGGGGCAGCACAATAGATCACTGAAGGTCACGGTGCAAGGGCCAGTTATTATGGCCCACCCCTCATACATTCATTTATTCACTTACAGTCTACATCATATGGAGTAGTATTCTGACTTCTGCTTCAGTGATGGGATTCCAGATGGGAAGAGATGTCAGCTGGGTTGGCTGACATGATGAGCAACCAGAGACGTAGGTGGTTTTCAGTTCAGTCTACAAAACCTTAACTTCTTTCCAGTGTAAATGCCTGACCATTAATATTGTATATCTGTACAGTTTGAAGTTCTATGTCACAAGCAGTTGTTCCTTCTGTGTCACTGTCTTATCAAATGATTATTATTGGCTGTGATATTTTGTCATGTCTAGTCTATTTTGAGCAGTGCTGTTCTTGAGATCTCCTGTATGCTTTACAAAGGATGCCCAGGTATTCTGTGTTACAATATGATTTCATGTTTTACTTCAGTCTGTACAGGCTTCAGCTGTTAGGTCTTAGCTTTATGAGATACTCTTCTTTATTTTTCTGCATATTTTTTAAACAGTGTACACACTAAAAAATTTTATAACCCTTTTGAGGTAGGAAGTTGTAATGGCGCAAGGGTTATGTACAAGTAGATATGTTTTTTGGGGTAAATTTGGAATAAGTGTATCTAGACTCTAAGATTAAGAAACAGAAATGATGAAACGTACCAGGAAGCTTGGGTTTGCAAAGAAGTGTAACAGGCTATAGCTTAGTAATCAGAATGCTAGCACGACAGGTAATAACGCTGACATTGAGGAAGAAGCTATATGAAGTAGGTCATAAACACTATGGCAGGAGGAAAACGCTGAGTTGGAGAAGGCGGTAGACCTGAAAGAGCCACCCCCTTTGTCCAATTTGTGGGCCACAACAACCCAAAATCACGTCAGAATGGGCGGGCCAATACACCCTGAAACCCAACGAATCAGCAAAAAGAGGGTACATAAACCCTAGAGGAATCAATCAAAAAACCTTTTGACTTTTTAATATTATTAATTGACATACAGTTCAGCCGGAGGCTATCGCCGAGAGAGTGATGGCAATAAGTAGGCGTTGGTTCGTGATGGCGAGCGTCTGTTTCATCAGCTCAAGTAAGTGAACCAACTTCATATAGCCCTGAACAATAAGTGTGATAATATTAAAGTGCAAACTAGATGGACTAGGTTCACTAAGAGATACAGAGGCGTAGAATACCCGACAGCAGGGGGACAGGAGATAGAACTAATGTGTGGCTACAGGGTCATCATCAAACGTAATACGAGCCGACGAACGTCTGCAAAGTGTGTATATATTATGTATATAGCGACATAGGGAAATAGAATAGGATCGCAATGCACTGTGATATTAATTGAACCTGGCATTCCCTCAAGTGTTACCCTCTTCCCTGACGACTCCAGCGCCTCCCGAAGCTTCGGCGCATTGCGAGTTATAGCCAGGACCAGTGACATAAGCAATCGATAAGTTACTGGAGTTTTCTTGACATAACAAGATGGTGGCAGCATATTAAACCTGGTGATAGAGCGGCATACCTCCACGCCCCCCTGTCACCACGGCGTAACAGTGGCGACAGCGGTGAGATATCCAATCCACCCCTGTCGCAGGGGTGTAACAGAAGTGCTTTTGCAAAATGCAAAAAGACACAAATCACCAGATAGTGATCAAATTCTGGCAGAATTTGTTCTAAGACCCATATGCTAATTATTTCTATTTGGCATAAGGAAAAACTGCCTGATCAGTGGAAGGAGTCTATTATTGTACCAGTTCACAAGCTGACTGTAGTAATTATCATGGGATATCACTGCTATCAACTCCAATATTCTCTCAAGGTTAAGTCCATACATAGATGAAATTGTTGGAGGGGATCAATGTGGGTTTCAACGTAACAGATCAACTACTGTCGAATCTTTTGCATTCATCAGATACTGGAGAGAGAAAATGTGGAGTACAATGAAATGGTACTTCAGCTATTCATAGACTTCAAGCAGGCCTATAATTCAGTTAGGAGGGAAGCATTGTAAAATATTCTGATAAGAGTTTAGGGTATCCATGAAACTAGTTAGGCTGATCAAAATATGTTTAAATGAAACATGTAGTAAAGTCTGTATAGATAAACATTTGTCTGATAATTTTCCTATCTAGAATGGTCTAAAGCAAGGAGATGATTTATCGCCACTCTTTTTCAACCTTTCTTTAGAATATGCCATTAGAAAGGTCCAGGAAAACCAGGTAGGACTGAAATTGAATGGACACATCAACTGTTGGCCTAGGCCAATGATGTGAATCTGCTGGGTGATAATATAGATACCATAAAGAAAAATAGACAAACTCTAATTGATACTAATAAACACAGAAAACTAAGTATATGTTGCTGTCTTGTCACCAAAATGCAGGTCAAAATCATGACATAGGTAACAGATGTTTTGAAAATGTGGCACAGTTCAGATATTTGGGAACGGTGATAACAGATCGAAATCTGATTCAGGAAGAAATTAAGAGGCGATCGAACTCGGGTAATGCTTGCTACCATTCAGTCCAGAACCTTTTGTCTTCTCGTCTGTTGTCCAAAAACATAAAAATTAGAATATACAAAACTATAATTTTGCCTGTGGTTCTGTATGGGTGTGAAACTTGGTCTCTGACATTAAGGGAGGAACATAGACTGAGAGTGCTTGAGAACAGGGTGTTGAGGAGAATATTTGGACCGAAGAAAGATGAAGTGACAGGAGGTTGGAGAAAAGTGCATAACTTGTGCTCTTCTTCAAGTATAATTAGAATAATCAAGTCAAAGAGGATGAGGTGGGCAGGGCTTGTAGCATGAATGGAGGAGAAGAATGCATATAGGATATTGGTGAGAAAGCCAACTGGGAAGACCAAGGCATATGTGGGTGGGCAATATTAACATGGATGTTACAGATAGAGGATGGGATGGATTGGATTGATCTGGCTCAGGACAGGGACCGGTGGTGGGCTCTTGTGAACAGGGTAATGAACCTTCAGGGTCCATAAAATGCTGGGTAATTCTTAAGTAGGTGTGAAATCGGTGGCTTCTCAAGAAGGGCTCAGCTCCATATGTGATGATGTGTTGGAGAAATGACAGCAGCATCACAGTTGCTTGGCTCATTGAAGAAACACATACCTTCAGGAGTTGTAACTTGTGGGATATAACGCCGTTTAGTCCGTTGCTCTGCTTGCTACCTGCTTCAGGATGGTTTCTTATTTGGCTTATTCTTAACCCTGATGATTGAGGCAACATGGTCCTCCGAAATGCCAAAGGACTGCAAGGCGTTATATCCCAGGAAACATAACTATTCATAACATCTGCTCTAAAAAGCTCAAATCCTAAATACCTTGAAATATCCGTGCATTATCACGGATCAGCTCTGCTTACATTTTCGTACCCATTTGTATCACTGAACCCACAGAATCGATGAATGGAACGAGTGGAAGATCCGCTGGGTGTTTATCTGTCGTTTTGCCTTTATTTTATTATGCAGTGCGTGATATGTGATATTTCGCTTGCAAAGTGTGTGAATGAATATTGCAGAAGTTGAGATCGGTTGAAATCAAATTTTGTCAGTCTGAAGGAAGAAACAAAGGGAAAAGTAGACGGAGGCGGAAAGGTAACAGCTGCTGACATGAAGAAGTTTGAATAGCAAGGTCTTCACGTGTATAGCTGTTATTTTATCTTTAGATAAACAATTGACTTTTTCCTAGTTAAGATTGCATTCATGTCCATATGTAGTGAGTTTGTGTACATGGGCGTAATATTTTACCCCCTACAGAATAGCAAATGATAATATATGTTGAAGAGGTGTTAAATTTGAGGTAGGAGTGCTTCAGTATTGGTTCGCTTGTAGTAGTGAGAACAGACTGTTTATTAACCTTTACTTCTAAATAACTGCACTTGTAACTATTGTCATTGCAATTTGTACATTATTAATGTAGTTGCATGCAGTAGTAATGTAAATTTTTAAATAATCAGGAAGTTTGTGTTTGAAAAAATAATTTGATGCGTCTTCATAAATTTCTTGCTCCTGCGTGACTATTGGTATGATATTCTTTAATAGTTCTTAAGTGCCTTGGTTGTGGGGAAAGTGAAGCTTTCACAAGTATTTTTTTATGGTGTCACGACAAGTAGTGTCACTTACGTTTCAGTGGTTTATAAGAGACTAGTAATTGTAGTGCCTAGATGCAGTGGGAGGTTAGTGGGAATGGCTTGTTAGGCTAATGTGTATTAGGTGTAGTGAACCGTAAATGAATCCCCAGAGTAATAGGTGTATATGGTCACTATATTGTTAAACTATTTCCACCCATCCAAAAACGTTTACAAGCAAGTGATGATGAAATTATTGAGCAGATATCAATGAGAGTGAAAATACCCCACCACACCACACCACCGTTACGTTACGAATACCACCACCATTAAATAATTACCAATTTATGGCTGAATAAACTTATAATTTCCTAATCAACCTGCGAACTAGTTGAGCTAATTCAGATGTGTTTAAATGAAACCCGTTGTAAAGCTTGTAGGGGCCAACATTTGTCTGGTCGATTTCTCATTTAGGAATGTCTGGAAAAGGGCAGCTTATTTCCAGTGCTTTTCCTCTTTGCTTTAGAATATGCCATTAGGAAAGCAGAAGAAAAGAAAAGGGATTGAAATTCTTTGGGACACATTAACTCGTTGACTATGCTGATGATGGTACTTTATGGGGTGAAAACTGAACTACTGTAAAGAAAAACAGATGTTAAAGACAGTGTCACGTAACTTCAAACAAGGCCCTGCATTCCTAGTCAAATCCCGCGCATAGCTTGTGGTAGGAGGAGTTTTTAACACTCGTTCTTCCAATTTCACCGACCGCTCGTGTTTCATTGAAACTACCATATTCTCTTTTCGAAGAACATATTACAATAATGCAAAGAAAAATGCGTTTAATGTGTATTACTAATTTATACTTTGAAAATTAAAATATAATAGACCTCTACCCTGACCTAATTTCTCACTCATTATGTACGATTTAGCGCACAAGGAAACTGACGTTATTAAAGAGATGATAGAAAAACCGTGAGTATAACCTGCTTCGAGGGTGCCTTACAAACAACTGGCCACCTGTCACTTCTCACATCCTCGAACCCACCCCCTTGTCTGAAGTTTTTCTTCTGCACATTCAAGGTTACTCTTGGCCATGTTCGAAGTTACGTGACACTTGCTATATATTAGATACTATTAAGGAGGTTGGCCTAGAAGTAAACACTGAAAGCTTAGTGTACATGTATGTCTCATCAACTGAATGCAAGAGAAGATAATAGTGTCAAGTTAGCTAATTAATCCTTCAAGAATATGTCAGGACTCAAATATTTTTCTTTGGAAAAATAACAAATTAAATTTTCATTCATGTACAAGTTAAAAGCAGATTAGATTAAATGGGCAAGGTAGCCAAGAAGATAATCCATGTGTTTTGTGATTAGATGAACTTTCTGGCCAGAAAATGCTTAAAACTAGAATGTGACCATACAGCCATCACATAAAGGCTTGTGACACTGCTCATGGTCCCTAAATTTTAGGTGGCATTTTTTTAAACATCTTACATGAAGTGTAATGATGTCAAAATGATTTATGGATGGGTACCTGGGATGTTGACTCATATTTAGAATGAAATCGTATTCAGTCCATTAAGGAAATCAGTATTTCATCATACCCATCACATTTCTTCCACCTCTTATTGTTATTATGATGGGTATTACAAAACAGAATTTTTTCATATTTTTAAGAGGTCTTAAGTGACATCTTTCATTATTATCATTATTATTATTATTAGTAGTAGTAGTAGCAGTAGTAGTAGTAGTAGTAGTAATTGTTGGCCTTGCGGCTGTTGACTCGGCACATTAATAATAAAGAATTGAATTGAATTATTATTATTATTGGAGGGGGTGGGTTTCCCCATGCACCATGACCAGTGGTATATTGTACGTCCCCCTGTGATATTCTACCAGTCTCTGTACTCTACTGATAGTGCTGCGTG